TTTTTCAGCCTAATGATGGCTTGCTTCACTGATAGTGACAGCTCTTTGGATCTCATCTTGAGAGTTGACAGCAACAGATTCCAAATGCAAATAGAACACTTGAAATGAACTCTGGACCTTTCATCTGCTCATTGTAATTGGCATAATGAGGGAATAACACATAACTGGCCATGGAATAGCTGAGAAGCCAATTGTCCCATTACTTTTGGTCCCTTAACAAGTGGGAGGCACATATGCAAACTGTTGTAATTCCTACACCGTTCACCTGCTTTGGATGTAAATACCCTCAAATTTAAGCTGACAGTCTGCAGTTAAAGCACATCTTGTTAGTTTCATTTCAAATCCATTGTGATGGTGTATAGAGCCAAAAATGTTAGAATTGTGTCAATGTCCCAATATTTATGGACCTGACTGTACATCCAAACTCCTCGAGCGCCTAGTCTACACCCGCCTATGGTCTCACCTCAACGACAACAACCTCCTCGATCCCCTACAGTCCGGCTTCCGTCCCCTACACTCCACCGAAACTGCCTTACTCAAACTCTCCAACGACCTGCTAAACCGCCAAAGCTAATGGCCACTATTCAGTGCTCCTACTCCTTGACCTCTCTGCGGCCTTCGAAACAGTCAACCACCCCCCTCCTCCTCAAAAAACTATATTCCCTCGGCCTCAAAGATTCTGCTCTCTCCTGGCTCTCATCCTACCTGTCACAACGCTCTTTCAGCGTTACCTATAATGCTACCACCTCCCCCTCTCTGTTGGGGTCCCTCAAGGCTCCGTCCTCTGGCCCCTTCTCTTCTCCATCTACACCTCCTCCCTTGGCCAACTCATACACTCTCACGGCTTCAACTACCACCAATATGCGGACAACACACAAATCTATCTCTCAACCCCCCACCTCAGTCTCCGCCCGAATTACACACCTACTGAGCGACATATCAGACTGGATGTCGCTCCACTTCCTTAAACTGAACCTCTCCAAAACCGAGTTTCCTGTCTTCCCCCCAGCCCAGACACCACCCCCCATTGACTTCTCCATCACATCCAACAATGCCACCATCAAACCCACCCCCCCAGCAGGCCAGAGTACTTGGTGTCATTCTGGACTCCAACCTATCCTTCCAGCCCCAAGTCCAATCTTTAACAAGCTCGTGCAGACTCCACCTCCGCAACATCGCCAAAATACACACGTTCCAAACCCCAGAAACCACTAAACAGCTCATCCACTCCCTCATCATATCACGACTCGACTACTGCAACTCCCTCCTCACTAGCCTGCCTCGCCGCTGGCTATCCCCGCTTCAGTCGATCCTGAATACAGCTGCCAGACTCATTCACCTTTTCAACCGCTCCATTTCCGCCACCCCCCTCTGCCAATCCCTCCACTGGCTTCCGATTGCACAACGGATCAAATTCAAAATCCTAACACTGACGTACAAAGCTGTCCACCATGCTGCCCCGAACTACATCACTGACCTAACATCCAAGTACCACCCAGCACACACACTCCGCTCCTCACAAGACCTCCTTCTCTCTAGTTCCCTGGTCTCCTCCTCCCATGCCCACCTCCAGGACTTCTCCAGGGTGTTACCCATCCTCTGGAACTCCCTGCCCCAACCCATCAGATTATCATCTACTCTCCTCTCCTTTTGGCGCACCCTGAAAACCCACCTCTTCAGGGAAGCCTACCCCACCCCCTGCTAACTTGCCAACCTCTTCCTACCTCCCCATCCCCCACAGCTTTCTCCTCCTGTGCCACCATCCCCTCCCTCCTAGATTGTAAGCTCGAAAGAGCAGGGCCCTCGATCCCCTCATGTTTTGCATTGTATTGTTGTTGTTCTGTCACATGTTCTGTCCCCCTTTGTAATGTACAGCGCTGAGCGAACTATTGGCGCTTTATAAATACTGTATAATAATAATAATTTGGAGCAACAAGCTTTGTGTGATGCGGTTTGCATGATTTCCTGTGAGACAATCTTGGCAGATTCTCACTGCATTTTAGGTGCTATTGAAAATGAATGGCATCTAAACAAGCATGGTGTGATTTTTAGTTTTGGAGTTTGCTGAAATTCTACCCGCGATTCAAAACACCTAGATGTGAATGAAGCCTTAAAGAGCAACTTCACCTAAAAGGGAAAGTTCCAACTCTTTGCACCCCCCATCTTTTCTAATTATTGGCACTTTTTTTGAGGGGGGTTACATCACAGGTCCCAGAAAACTGCAGAACCATTCACAAAGCAGAGTGCTGTTCGTACATGCACAGTGGGAACTGGCTGTGAAGCTGCAAGGCTAAGGTTTCTCTTAGGGCTTGTTCACACTTCATTACATTTCAAACTCTTCAAAAACTCCCCTATGTTAGCATGGACGTTAGACAGGCATTAATGAGCTTCAGTACGGGTGTCTTACAAGCGTTAAAAACGCTCCACAAATGCCCTATGCGCAGTTTTGAGACTTTTTAAAAGCGTTAAAGCTGCATCACCAACAATTATAATAAACTACTGCCTGCAAGCGTGTTTGTGGAGCATCACCATAGACATGAATGGAAGGCGTTGAAAGGCTTCAAACTCTTTCAGACTGGATATGAGGCTTCAATTTTGAAGCAACTCAAAGCTAAAGCTTTTGATAATGTGAAAACAGCACCATGTGCTGCCCATAGTATCATTTGCATAGGTTTTAAAAACACCCCTCCAATGCCTGCGTGTGAACAAGGCCTGAGTCTGCAGATACTTGAGTGATTTGTAATTTGAAGCTCCAAACACGCTCAAACTTAAAAAGAAAAAAAAAAATCAACTGTTCTCTATGGTGCCTGTTCACACCTGATTGTGCAAACAGGCACCATAGAGAAAAATAGATTTTTAAAGTTTGAGTGTTTTTGTAGCTTTGAGCTTCGAATCACTCAAGTGTGAATGCAGCCTTACTGAAGATGCCGGCCTCTGGACCTGAAGCCGATTGAAGAGTCAGCTTGTGCAGAGACAACACTGCACAGGTATGTGTCCCTATGTCAGATGCAATAATTACAGGATTTGTAGCTGCTGACTTGATATTTCAGGGGGGAGTCTGGAGCTCCTCTATAAAGACATTGGAAAGCATCTGGTCTGAATCAACCGAGGGCTCATTCACACCAATTGCTGCATTTGCAGCGCAGGGATCAGCACATTGCAGTTTCTTTTTTAAACATGCTTTATTGAGATCTGACACAGACGTCTCATAAAGGTCAATTATGGCCATGCAATGTGAGGCGGTGAATTACCTTTCACCATGTTGAAAGAAGTAGCGTATGTACCGTGCCTGCCAACCACAGCATAATGAAGCGGGCACATAGGAGACAAGACATTCTGAGGTTTCCATGTGGTGGGACGGAGCTGGAATAGCCGCCCAATGCAGTCACAGTGTGTGGTGTGAGCCCAGACTAATGGAGCTTTTATTATGAATTTGGAAACCTTGGACATGTCCTCTAACTCCCTCCCCATGTGCACGGTATCTGAGAGACCTGAGGGAAGCTGCAACATCATCTAGTGAGATCAGAGTGACCGTGAAGGGACGGTCCCCGGTCAGGCAGCTGAGGTGGTGAATCAATAGATGAGAACATTACAGGAGACGTGCCGGTTCTATGGGCGCCCGGTGATGATAGAGCTTCTATAGACTCCATAGGATGTTCCAGGCAGTCAGGTGACACTCCGTATTGGCGCCATAGCCCACTGAACGATTGTCGGTCTTCATGAGAGGACTATAGTGGCGGTAGTAGACGGCGGCGGGTCCTGCTCGGTGTGTTTCCCGCAGACACAACAATGGTGCCGGAGCACTGAGGAAGCTACAGACTGCGGCGACTCCCTCGCCTTTGTTTCCTCTCACTCGGAGTTTTTCAAATCGCGCGGTTCGGCTGCACTGCAGCTAATCAGCGCTACCAAACTCAGCGTAGCCCAATCACAACCTCCCCCGCGAATTTTTAAACCTCCAAGCCCAACCAATCCAATGCGAGGGAACCGCCCCGACTCCCTTTAACCGGTTTTAGCTAGAGGAGTTCTTAGCCGTTTCTCCCCCCCTCCGCACAGGGATGTGGGCGGTCCTGTGCGACAACCCTGCTGGCTCTCCTGACTCCGCCTTCCACACCACGCAATAAACAAGCCTGGCAAATGGCTAGAGAAGGGCGTATTCTCCGTGCTTCCGAAAACAGCCAGGAGACCAATCAGCGCTCGGGGGCGTGTGTTCCAACAGTGCTCATCAGGGTACTGTGAGAGGGAGAAGTGTGGAAAACAAGAGGCTGTATTACGTCCCAGTTGAACCATTCTAGTGCGGGACACACAGGCGGATCGGTCACCTCTTCTCACTCACACAGCTCAGGTCAGTTGGCGCCCTTTTCCTTCTCTACTTTATTCCTTTCGTGGAACTTTACCTTTCTAGAACTTTACCTTTCTAGAACTTCCTGACTTTCATTACGTGGGCGGACGATGGCTGTGCGTTCCCTGACTTGTTTTACGCATATATTCTATTTCTGGCGCACTTTCCTCGCCTCTCTCTTTGTATTTGAGGCAACCGGGCCTGGTTGCGCAGTTGGCGCTGTCCCGTGTTTGGCGGGTGGGAGTCTCGGTGTCATTCGCTCGCGGCGCCCTGTGCCTGTCTATGGTGAGGGGAAGTGGCGCGTGCTCGGCCATAGAACGTTATGTAGGCGCTTAGAGTGGGTTTGAAGGCTGGTCACGTGCTCTCGGTCGTGCGCCCGTAACCCCTTCCCGCCCGGAGAGCCGCTAATACAGGGGAACCTTTTGCCATATCCCGCGCCCCTCCCCCCAGTAGGCAGCGGAAGGATATTTGTGATTCGGGCGGGAAGCCAAGCACGCTGTAGTAGTAGTTGTAGGCCAGCTCTGAAGGAACTTCCTTGTGCCCGCCACGCCCCCGATCCCTTCCCGGCTCCTCCCCCGGGCCCGCCCCGCTGCCTTCCCGGGTTTTTAGCTCGTGTTATTTACGATCATTGTCTGTCGTCCGTCCATCACAGGTACCAGTCATGGGGAAAGGAGATCCTAACAAGCCCCGGGGCAAGATGTCCTCCTACGCTTACTTCGTGCAGACCTGCCGGGAGGAACACAAGAAGAAACACCCGGACTCTTCCGTCAACTTCGCAGAGTTCTCCAAGAAGTGCTCCGAGAGGTGGAAGGTGAGGAGGGGCTCATCATAGACATGGGGGGGCTTCATATATGAGACTACATGGCTTGTTATATCGTAGGAGTGTACAGTATATAGAATTCTGCCTGCAATAGGGACTCTCATGGGTGAGACTGGGGGATCGTAATACATGGGGGGGGGCATGAGCAGCTTCATATATGGGACTGTATGGCATGTTACAGCATAGGATTCCTTCACAGGATTGTACAGTGTATGGGATTCTGCCTGCAATAGGGATCACATGGGTGAGACTGAGACTGGGGGGGGGGGGGGGTCATAATACATGGGGGGCATGAGCAGCTTCATATATGGGACTGTATGGCATGTTACAGCATAGGATTCCTTCACAGGATTGTACAGTGTATGGGATTCTGCCTGCAATAGGGATCACATGGGTGAGACTGGGGGGGGGGGGTCATAATACATGGGGGGCATGAGCAGCTTCATATATGGGACTGTATGGCATGTTACAGCATAGGATTCCTTCACAGGATTGTACAGTGTATGGGATTCTGCCTGCAATAGGGATCACATGGGTGAGACTGGGGGGGGGGGGTCATAATACATGGGGGGGCATGAGCAGCTTCATATATGGGATTACATGACATGTTACATCATAGGATTCCTTCACAGGATTGTACAATATATGTGTAATTCTGCCTGCAGTAGGGATCATAGGTGAAACTGGGGGGGTCCTCATAGACATGGGGGGCATGAGCAGCTTCATATGGGCCTGTATGACATGTTACATCGTAAGATTCCTTCACAGGATTATACAGTGTGTGGAATTCTGCTTTAACTGAGCTGTAGTTTTAGACTTGTAATGGGGATCGAGGGGGAGGAGCTTCATGAGATCTAATCGTATACCTTTTATAGTATGCACCTTCATGTATAGTGCTACAATGTTACATCAAAGGAATACTTAATGTGATTGTATGGGATTACTACTCTGCTTTGCTTGTAATAGTGTTTAGGCCTGAATGGGCAGAGTTATATGAGAAAAGCTCAGGGAGGTGGAAGGGAACTGGGAGGAGTTCTCATCATAGACCTTGCATGTGGACATTTTCTTAAATGTTACTGTCAGGTTAAATCGGCTGGGTCTGGTAAACTTTCCCCTGATATTGATGTTAAACTGCTCCTGGTGTACAGAGATTTATGTGCAATCGGATTGTGGTGTGAGTGACTAGCTGCAGAATATGCGGAGGGTTTTTTTGGGGGTTGGTTTTTTTTTTTTTTTCGTTCGGAGGTTCTTACCAGGTTTTGTTTTTGTTTAGACCATGTCTGCCAAGGAGAAATCCAAGTTTGAAGAAATGGCCAAAAGTGATAAGGCCCGTTATGAAAGGGAAATGAAAAACTATATCCCACCAAAGGGAGAGAAGAAGGGAAAGAGAAAGAAGGACCCAAATGCCCCAAAACGGCCACCGTAAGTGTTATCTTCTGGGTATAAGTGATTCTCCTTTTTGTGAGACTGGGTTTGGTAAACCTGATTGACTTTCCATGCACACGTTTTCTTTTGCAAAGCGCTTTATTCATAAAGGTAAACTTTGCTGCTTGTAACACCTGAAGATGGCTGAGTCTGTTGGGATTTGGGTGCATTTTGCTTTTAGAAAGGTGTTGACTACAACTTTCAGTTTGTGTTTAGAAAACTTAGATTTAAATGGCTCAACTGCCTTTTTCACCTATTTTTTTTACTTTTTTTTTTTTTTTTTTTTTTTTTTATTTCTGTAGATCTGCATTTTTCCTGTTCTGTTCTGAGCATCGGCCCCGGATAAAGACTGAAAGTCCCGGTCTGTCCATTGGTGATACTGCTAAGAAATTAGGAGAGATGTGGGCTGAACAGTCACCCAAAGACAAGCAGCCATATGAACAGAAAGCAGCAAAACTTAAGGAGAAATATGAGAAGGTATGACAGTGTTCAGATTTACATGTATATTGGTGTACAACAAGCATTCAAATTGGTGCCTCTTTTATAAAAGTATCATCGCTAAAAACTAGCTTTCTTTTCCAATTGCTGTCAGATGAGGTTTAAGGACCAGTTTGAATCCAATGGCTTTAGACACTTCAGTTTATATATAACTTTAAATTAATTGATGGTAAAGGCTGAAGTGGGGGGGGGGGGGTTAACCCTAATGCATTAAGGTAAAACAAAACCTATTGTTGGCTCCCTAGCCCACCTAAATACTTGCTGAGTCTGATCTCAATCCAGTACTCCACCCTGGAGCATCAGCTCTTCCTCACTGGACTCCATGAGAGCAGCTAGAGCAATTTGCTCCTGCAACTGTCATTCATATTTGGTGACCATAGGGATTGGCTGAGCTGCATTCGGTGTGTCAACGAATATACAGACCTTGGGGTTGAGTCCACGTGTGCCACCATAGGAAGTGGTTCCTATCGTGTCACATGGGAATAAGAGCCCAGAGTGCCATTGGGTTGTACGTAACCATTGCATGGAGCAAGTATGTGTCTAAAATTAAAAATTTGCTCAAGTTCTATGAACACAATCTGTTCACTTTTTAAGAACCAGTTTCCATTTTCATTATAAATGTGTGCGGTAGCCATTGAAAACATTAGGCTGAAAGATGTTCAAAGGTGTCACAAGTGTGATGGTTTGCTGCAATGTTTGTGTGTTCAGCACACCAAAGTAAATGGGTCCAGAAACACTGAAAATCCGTAATCGGCTATGGGATTGGGTGTTTTGGTGTGTGTGTGGGGGGGGGGGGGGGGGTTCCTCATAAAAACAAAATAGGCTTGATGTAGTATGTATGAAAAGACTTGTCAAGTTACAGACCTCCATTGCTGGTCTGCATTTGACTGCTTGAAAGGGGGGGGTAGCTGATCTTTATTTGTAAATGAGTCTGGTGGTGGTGAGCAGTGTTAAAGTGTAGCTTTTCAGTTAGATTTTCTATAGAATGGCAACTTATGCTTGTGTATATTCCAGGATGTTGCTGCATATCGGGCAAAGGGCAACAGTGATGTTGGTAAGAAGATTCCCGGCAGGCCAGCAAGCTCAAAGAAGAAGATTGAGCCAGAAGATGATGAAGACGACGATGAGGAGGAAGATGATGAGGAAGAAGAGGATGAAGAAGATGACGAGGATGATGAGTGAATGCTTTGTGCGCTGTAAAAATTGTTTGAAGCCCATTGTTTGTTTGCTAAGAATGTGAACTCAAGTGCAGCTCATTTTGTTAGCTTGGTTATAAAAAACTGTACAGAATTGTGTATAGGCAATGTGATTTCTTTAGGGAGAACCTATATTTTAATATAAGGAGTAGTTGGAGGGCTGTTAAGAGTTGAAGCTTCTGATGTGGGATGATTCTGCATATTTAATGGTTTCTAAGGGTAGCCCAATGTTAGTAACAAAAGATCCAGTATACTTTTAGTCCTGTAGACCTGGTGCATTGTACTTTTTTTTCTAACTTTTTTAGCAACTTTTTTTTGTAATAAAATATATATAAATATCTTAAGCGTTTATTGGTTTTGTGCCCTTGACATGCATGTACTTGTGTATGATTGTCAAATAGACTATTAGTATTTAACCAAATACTATGGTGCCGTAGGTACTTCTGACTTGCAGGCCACCAAGGTACTTATCGGTTTGCACTGCTAGTGAGTTAGCTGCCCTGAAGTGTGTGATCTATATCATAGCATGGTGCTTCTTAGAGGTGCCACAAACCTAAATGCAAGCATGGTACACATGCAGATATTGTAGCCTAGATGCTATATTTTGAATTGAGAAAAACATTTTAAAACCCACTTTGCAAAATGCTCTTAAACTATGTAACCACATTGCTCATGCATGATATACCTGTAAAAGATTGAATACACAATCCTATGCACTGATTCTGTGATGTCATTCCCCTCCCTGTGGAATTTTATTGGGGGCTCAGCAGAAAGGACCAAGGATATCAACACTTTTGTAACTGTCTGGTTTCTAAATGTAGCCGTGCTGGGTGGAGGTTGAGTATTTACAGGTATGTCTTGCCTAAAGCGGGACCGAAGTTTAAATGTACCCGTTTAAAAGAAGGAAGAAAAAAATATCTTCCTTTTTGAAGCCCATCACCAGAGCAAGCAAATTCCCTCCTATTGGTAATGGAGCAATAAACGGCAATGTTCACTTCATTTTAGAAGTGCCAAGAAATATGAAGTAACAGAAATCTAAATGAGTATATAGAGAAAAAGCTCTAGTCATGTTCCAGCCTTGAAAAAGGTGAGACGCTGTCAAGTTTTTCATACTGAATTCTTTTGGTCATCGTGAGGCAAGTATCCATCAAAAATGCACAGAAAGTAGGTTTATAGGGTTGTCAGTGTCCTAGTTCAAATCGGTGCTTGCAGTTGCAGGGAAATTTTTTTTTTTTTTTTTTTTTTTTTTTTTTTTTTTTTTTCTTCCCCCCTTTTACTGGAACGTGGTAAAATGCATCAAAAACCCTTTTTATATTGAAGAAATTTGCATTCTGGAATGCGTCTGGCCTACAGTGTGAACTGACTAAAGCAAAACTAAGTACCAGTGGGTTTTGCCTAAGAAGAATGTCGCATACAGACAAATGTGCAAAACGCCTGAAATTGTGTCCAGACCTGCTGATGCTCCAATATCATTACTGTGCAAGATGCCTTCTAAGCAATCGTGTGTGTAAAAAGTGTATATATAAATATTACTAAATTGACATCAGTCAGGGTTTCTGATTACTGCCACGCCACTTATGGTGACACTACTAAACTTGTGCCAGGATGTTTAAAAAAAAAAAAAAAAAATTAAAGTTTAATATCTAGAGTCCGAAAATTGTGACAAAATATAACCTCAATTCACCATGCCTCTACCAAATACCTTGAACTGTCTACAAAAGGGTTATTTGGGAATATTTGGATTGCCCTGGCATTTTTGGGTCCCACAAAATTAAATCTACCTTCAGTATGTTAGGATTGATTGTGTGGGTGTTTTAAATAAAAAAAAAAAAAATATATATTCACACATACAGTCCTATTGAAAGTATTCATACCTCTTGAAATTTTGTCATGTTACAGCCAAAAAACGTAAATGTATTTTGTGATATACCAACACAAAGTGCCACATAATTGTGAAGTGGCAGGAAAATGATAAATGCTTTTCACAATTTTTTAGAAATATCTGAAAAGTGTGGTGTGCATTTGTATTCAGCCCCCTTTACTTTGATATCTCGTAACTAAAATCTAGTGGTACCAATTGCCTTCAGAAGTCGCCTAATTAGTAAATAGTCTAGCTGTGTGTAATTGAATCTGTATAAATACATCTGTTCTGTGAAGCCCTCAGGTTTGTTAGAGAACATTAGTGAACAAATGGCATCATGAAGGCCAAGGAACACACCAGACAGGCCAGGGATAATGTGAGAAAGTTTGAGCTGGTTCACACTATAGAAATGCAGTCTAGATGTGTTCCAGATGCATGTCTGCATGCATGCATCTTTGGTGCATTCCAGTGTGTTTTTTTTTTTTTTTTTTGATGCGTTCCAGTTCCTTTTTTTTTTTTTTTTTTTTTTTCTTTCCCCCTCTATTTCTTCAATTTAAAATAGGGACGTGTTTGTGGTGCATTCCAGTACAGCTCTGTGCAGGGAAAATGCAGCCTGTTCTACTTTTTTTTTTTTTTCTGCATCTGGAACTGCAAGCACAGATGTGAGCTATGACATTGCAACCATATAACCTACTTTCTGTGCATTTTGGAAGCAGAAAAAAGCACATAAATGAATGTGTGAACTGGCCTTAAGGCTCCTTTCACACCAATGTTTTGTAAGGCTTTTGCAGAAATGCACTACAGTCCATTTCACATGGTTTCCTATGAAACATGTTCACATCTGCTTTTTTGAGCTGCTGTGTTTTTGGAAAGGGTCAGACTTTTTTTAAAGGCAAAAAGCAGCGTTTTTGCTACAATAGAGTTCAATGGAGAATGCTCAAATGCATGGTAGGGCGTTTTTTGCCGCGTTTTGTTTTTTGTTCTGCCCAGCAAAAAAAAAATTCCACTTTAAAAATATAAATAAAAAGGGGTTGAAGAATACTCATCTAGAGAAACACAAAATGGACAAAAAGCAAAATGCATAGGTGTGAACGGAGCCTAAAGCAGGGTAAGGCATATAAAAAAATATCCCAAGCTTTGAACATCTCACAGAGCATTATGTTATGGGGATGTGTTTCTTCAGCAGGGACAGGGAAGCTGGTCAGAGTTGATGGGAAGATGGATGGAGCCAAATACAGGGCAATCTTAGATGAAAACCTGTTAGAGTGCAAAAGACTTGAGACTGGGGCGGAGGATCACCTTCCAGCAGGACAACGACCCTAAACATACAGCCAGAGCTACAATGGAATGGTTTAGATCAAAGCATATGCAAGTAGTAGAATGGCCCAATCAAAGTCCAGACCTACTGTAAATCCAATTAAGAATCTGTGGCAAGACTTGAAACGTGCTGTTCACAGACACTCTCCATCCAATCTGACAGCTTTGAACTATTTTGCAAAAATGTCCCTCTCTAGATGTGCAAAGCTGGTAGAGACATCCCCAAAAAGACTTTTGCAGCTGTAATTGCAGTGAAAGGTGGTTCTACAAAGTATTGACTTCAGGGGGGCTGAATACAAATGCACACCACACTTTTCGCATATTTATTTGTAAAAAATTGTGAAAACAATTTATCCTTTTCCTTCCACTTTACAATTTTGTGCCACTTTGCGTTGGTCTATCACATAAAATCCACATAAAATACATTTACATTTTTGATTGTAACATTATTATTATACAGGATTTATATAGTGCCAACAGTTTGCTCAGCACTTTACAATATAACGGGAGACAATACAGCAACAATACAGTTCAATACAAGAGGGAAAGGAGGGCCCTGCTCCTTGGAGTTTACAATCTAGGAGTAATGACAAAATATGGAAAATTTCAAAGGAAGACTTTTTCAAGGCACTGTATCTATCTATTTATCTATACACTGCTCAAAAAATTAAGGGAACACTTTAGTAAGAGTATTTATTTCAGGTACTTGTATAGCACTGTCAATTTACACAGCGCTTTACACATATATATGTATTGAACATTCACATCAGTCCCTAACCCTCAAGGGGTGTACAATCTAAGGTCCCTAACTCACATTCATACATACATGGGCCAATTTAGACAGGATCCAATTCATCTACCAGCATGTCTTTGGAGTGTGGGAGGAAACTGGAGCACCCGGAGGAAGCCCATGCAAGCACAGGGAGAACATGCAAACTCCATGCAGGAGGCACCATGGTTGGGAATCGAACCCATGACCCATTACTGCAAGGCAGACTTGCTAACCCCTAAGCCACTGTGCCACCCTATAGAGTATAGCATCAAGTCAAATAAACTCCTGGGATATTGATCTGGTCAGTTAATTAGCAGACGGGGTTGTTAATCAGTTTCAGCTGCTTTGGTGTTAATGAAATCAACAACAGGTGCACTAGAAATGGTTTTACAGGTGACGACTACTGACATTTTTTTCCCTACTCACCTTTTCTGACTGTTTTTCACTAGTTTTGCATTTGGCTAGGGTCAGTGTACCATTAGCATGAGACTGCGTAAGCAGTCCAACTCCTTTAGGAGGGCACATCAATATTTACGATTGCCAGATTGTTTGCTGTGTCTCCCAGCACAGGCTCAAGAGCATGGAGAAGATTCCAGGAGACAGGCAGTTACTCTAGGACAGCAGAACAGGGCAGTAGAAGGTCCTTATCCCATCAACAGGACCGGTATCTGCTTCTTTGTGCAAGGAGGAACAGGATGAGCACTGCCAGAGCCCTATAAAATGACCTCCACTGGTCTGAATGTCTCTGACCAAACAATCAGAAACAGACTTCATGAGGGTGGCCTGAGGGCCCGACCTCCTCTAGTGGGCCCTGTGTTCACTGCCCGGCACCATAGAGCTTAATTCGCATTTGCCATTGAACACCAGAATTGGCAGGTTCACCACTGGCACCTTGTGCTTTTCACAGATGAGAGCAGGTTCACCCAGAGCACATGTGACAGACGTGAGAAGGTCTGGAGAAGCCGTGGAGAACATTGTGCTGCCTGTAATATCGTTCAGCATGACCATTTTGGTGGTGGGTCAGTGATGGTTTGGG